AACAAAACATAAAACCACCATCATTCAAATACAATCACAGAAAGTGTCGATCGGTTAAAATTCTTTTGTGCACAATCCCATATTCAAAATTACCAATTATTTAATTTCTCTTATTTATCAGTTTTGTATGTCCCTTTATACTATTATACTCATTTAGTCATTATTTAACAAAGGCTTAACTCCCATAAGAAAAACATTTCATATATTTTATCATTACATTAATGATTCCATTTTCATTCCATTTTCAGGGTCTTCTATTTGGCATCCCGCTTGTCGACAGGCAGCCAAAGTTGAAGAAAAGGCCAAGGTAAACGTCTTTGAAATGCTTCATTTTATTTTCTATCCTGCTCGACGTCTTTGTCAGAGGACTTAGCAGCCTCCAGCCGCTTCTTCCTGGCTACCCGGAAATCCCACAGCCATTGACCGGAAGCTTAAAAGAACAGCCTCTCTGATGCAACGGCAGATCGTTCCGTTGTCTTCCAAGGAAGCCACAGAGAGGCATCCTGGGAATCTCCATGCTCCACTCCTGGGACTGCCATCACCATAACTCACATCTGTCAAACCGGGGTGCTTTTTTTCCTTTCCCCAATTATTGCATGGAGGCCAAACCGGCTGCTTTGCAACTGTGCCTCTTTGGAGACCCAACAGTCTAAATCCCCCTCCCCCATTAATATTTGGGTTCCATCACATTGTTCCAAAGGTAGCTCTACGAAGGCGGTGGTGAGCCAAGCCTCCCTCCTGTTTGGTCTAAAAATGCTTCCTCCGGTTGATGTCCCCTGTGTTGGCCAGTCACCCCAGCCCACCTGGAGGGCGGTGATGGGAAAGGAAGCTCTGGGTGAGCTTGTGAAGCCCTTCGGAGGCCATCCCATAACCAGGCAGTCCAAAGCAAGGCTTTCTGGATCTTGGGCTTAGAATGGCAAACGAATTCAGGCTCCCTGCTCAGATGTCCCTTTTCAGGCAGTCCTGCTCCTGTGTGGGGAAACGATGGGAGGCACAGAACCATAGCCAAAGCTAGAAGATTCTCCCGGCTGCTTCTGCGTGATGCTTTGCCTGTTGCTGTCCTGGGAGGAGAATTCAGAGGGGGCCCTCATCATGATTGGAGACGTTCTGGCACGTGGAATGCTCTGGAATCCTTAAGGCACCCTTTACTCTACGGCCTTTTTTGCAGAGATGCTAGAAACAGGTGCATTTTGCACCTGGTTTAGTGGGCGTCCCAGGAGGTATAACTGCCTTTCTGCCTAACTGCCACTGGCTACTCAGTACAAGCCCACCTGGCTGGCAGGGGCTGAATTTTGCTCTGCCACTTTCAGGATCAGCAGTCAAATTCACTTTCCTAGAAAAAAAATTAATTTCCTTTTTTTTTTTAAAGCTATATTTTATCTGGAAGACACACCTTCCCTTTTCTTTCTCTCCCTTTTGTATGTTACAACCGTAAGTGGAATAAACCGAGTTAAACGCTCAAGGGAGACCTTACTTTTTACCAGGATGGGCCTTGTCCCCACCCCTGTTTAACCTACACAGCAAGGATGCATTTGGAAGGAATGGCGGGTGGAATAAAAAGCAGAGCCCCTTCTCACCAACCATTCGAAGGGAAGAGCCTCTCCCAGAGGGAAAAGGGGAAAGTGATGCACGCCATGAAATTTAAAGAGGAACCTCAGCAGCCTCTAAGCTCAAGAGAAGACCGGAGGAGTTAGGGAGGAATAAAGGAAAGGGGGCGGATGGTGGTGGGTTCTTTTTTCAGTATGAGGATAGATGGGCAGAGTGCTGGTCCAATAAGAGAAAGGCAGTTATAGATTTAGACAAGGAAATGAAGGGTGAGGACATTTTGTAAGGGAACGTGAGGAGGGTGGTGAGACCATGGAGGATGATGCCTAGGGATCAATCAAATGTGTGTGTGGGGGGGGGGGTTTACATTAAAGGTCAGAGGAAGGACCTGCCATAATGCATCAGGGAGTTAAAAATGGTGGCAGGAAGCCTGTCCTTTCAGACTTGCATGCTTCTGTTACTCTGGCCTTACTCGTTGTTTCCTGTCTAGTCTCCCAGGGCGGACTGTCTCATTTCTAAAGCCACGTCCAACTAGTCAGAGGAAGTTGTGCAACTGTGCAAGTGAGATAATTATGGGAAAAATGTTCGTTTGATGGATTTGGAAGCAGTCGCTAAGAGGGGAGCCCTGGTAGCTCTCGTGCTAGAGAAAAACTAGGAGTCGCCTGCTAGCCTCTTTTCTGACTAACACAGTTTATTTATAGGCATTTAAATAAGTTTGGATGGGCCGCAGTTTCTCCCTTTGAATGAAATGTATGAGTTGGACAAGGGGGCAGCAGGCGCCACCAGATGGGGAGCAACAGGGACTGTGTCTGTGGAGAGTCTCCATCCTTCGGGTCATGGTTGTCCCAAAGGTGCTTTTTCCAAAAGGCAAGTGGGCTTTCTTGGGGGTTTTTTTTTTCTTTGAAAGCATTTCTCTTCTCATCCAAGGAGCTTCTTCAGTTCTGAAGTGAAGAAGCTTCATGGATGAGAGGAGAAATGCTTTCAAAGAAAAGAAAAAAAAGTCCAGTTGCCTTTTGGAAAAGCAGCTTTGGCTCAATACCAGGGACTCCTAGAGCTGAGGATCAGCAAATAGAAAGTGACACGTTGGGCTTTGCTAGGAGGTGTGGGATGTACCGGGACAAAGGATTGCACCTGGAAAGGTTGGGGGAAGTAGATAAAAAGGGTCAGGTGAGTGGGGGAAATCAAAGAGATTCCAGAATGTCCTTGATGTGTTGTTACAAGATAGGGACCATTTGACCTAGAAGGCTTCCATCAGGATATAGAACTTTTTCACATTTCTTTTGATTTTTGGCTTCCATAGATCCAGTGATCCAGCTCTCCTCCTTTGCTTCCTGTATGATCCTGGACTTGAGAAATAAAAACAAAACTGAAATGGGGAAGTAAAGGGGTGAAATACTTATTTTCCTCATGTTGCTATATCTAAAAATAGTTGATTATAAAACCAGTTGGTTACACAAATTCCAGTTTTGAAGTAATTGAGCCTTTGCCTGCTAATTTTAGGGCAAATTTTATCTGTAAGCAAGAGGCTTTTAAAATGTTTTTCAAGAATAAATGTGTAAGAAAATTCATATCCATGTTTGTTTTCAGTTGCAGGAAACCCGAACATCATCTGAGAGCATAATTTCGGTGCCCCCTTCAAGTACATCATGTTCCCCAAGTCGAATAATTTATGTACGTGTCCATGGTAAAATGCTAAAATAAATAAATAAATGGGAAAATAGGAATCGTTTGGAATACAATGATTTTGACAACTGGTTATTTGTAAGAGATTATTACCCAGAGTTTTTCAGAAGGAGCATCTGGGTTTTGTGGGCTGGAGGATTTGTATGTATTTAAGAGACTTGTTTGGCTAACCAACTCAGATAGTAGCGACTCTGGCTGGAACCCGGTAAGCAAACAAGAAAATAAAAAGAGCACAAACAATTACAGTTAAAATCAGGGCAACAAGAAGCAGCAGGGAGTACAAGCGTTGCCTTAGGCCTGCCCTGGCAAGGATGCCCATCATCCTCCCCCAAGGCTCCTCCTCCTCCTCCTGAAGGCCAACAATCCCTGGGCCAGCTGTGTATGGGTGGCAGACCGTTCCGGAGGCAGGCCAGGCGGACCTTGTCAGTCCCAGCTGATGGCCTCGTTCCAGAGAAGGACCACAAGCGTGAGAGCCCGTGGGGTTGGTGAGGGAACCATTGGAGGAAGGTAGAACTGGCAGGGCAGCATCCTTAGCCACCTGGCTCCATCCTTCAAGAGCTGGGAAGCCAGGTAACCATTGGAAGCAGCTCAAGCAAATGCCTCCCTCATTCACTGGGCCCCAAGGAGGAGGAGGAAGGCGCAGCCTAATAGCCCTTGCAAGGCTGCCTTCTGATAGCCCATCTCAGTGACGCCTAATTCTGGCCTTCCTTGGAGTTGAGTGTCTGATCTGGTCGGCCTCTCATGTGGCCAATACCACCACCACGAGGCCTCTCCGTCTGGGTCTGGTTTCTTTAGTCATATTCTCCACCGTTTTTCCTGGAACCGACCTTAGGCAAGCTGGTGATAATTTCCAGGAACCCTTTTCAAGTCCTTTCTGAAACGGAAGCTGCATTAGCTATTTCCCTTTTTTTTAGGAATAGATGCTATTTTAGGAAAAAGTTTCGTTTTCTTTTCTCTTGTTAATTCAACAATTTCACTTTGTAAGTTCTCTAAAATCTGTGGGGGATCCATTGTATGGAATCAGGATTTATTATTATTATTATTATTATTTGCATTTTATGAAGGAAGCTGCTACCTTCAGTTTTTCTTTCGTCTCTTTTTAGGCGAAACTCGGGGAGGAAATTCTTGACTACCGAGACTTGGCTGCTCTCCCTAAGAACAAGGCCATCTACAACATCGACCGTCCAGACATGATCTCCTACTCTCCCTACATCAGCCACTCGACCAACGACCGGCCCAGCTACACCGAGGTACCGCCTGCCTCTGCGGATCCGGAGAAGTAACCATCGTAGTGGGATTCCAGTTTTGGTTTCCTCTCCTGCTCAGGTGTTCACACTCTTTCGTGGGGCAGGTGAACACTCGAGCTCCAGGCAAAGCCCTGTCCGGTACTCTACAGTCAGACCTAACTGCCACGTTTGTTTCATATCTTTTGCTTCCTGAGGGGGGCAGATGAAAGGCAGCATTTTTTGCCAAAACTAAAATCACAAAATTTTGAAGTTTTATCATAATGGCCATGGAATCCAACCTCCTGCTCAGTGCAAGAATCTGTATGAAAACATCCTCAGTGCTCGATTGTCTACCTTCTGCTTGAACATATGAGGAAGACTGACCTTATTCACGAAGCAGGTGTGGAACAGAATTACTGAGTTGGAAGGGACCCTAGAGGTCTTCTAGTCCAACCCCCTGCTCAAGCAGGAGATCCTAGACCTAGACCATTCGGAGACAAGTGGCTGTCCAGACTCTTCTTGGAAACCTCCTGTGTTGGAGCACCCACAACTCCTGGAGGCAAGCCGTGCCACTGATTATTTGTCCTCACTGTTAGGAAGTTTCTCCTAAGTTCTAAGCTGGATCTCTCCGTGGTTAGTTTCCATCCGTTGCTTCTTGTTCTGCCTTTTGGTGCTTTGGAGAATGTGGACCCCCTCTTTTTTGTGGCAGCCCCTCACATACTGGAAGACTGCTATCATATCACCCCTGGTCCTCCTTTTCACTAGACTAGGCTTACCCAACTTCTGTAACCGTTTTTCATACGCTTTAACATCCAGCCTCTTAATCATCTCCGTTGTTCTTTTCTGCACTCTTTCTAGAGCCTCAACATCTTTTTATAATATGATGATCAAAACTGGACGCAGTATCCAAGCGTGGTCTAATTAAAACTTTATAAAGCGGTACTAGAACCTCTTGTGATCTTGATTCTATCACTCTGTTGATGAACCTAGGATGGCGTTGGCTTTTTTGGTGAGTGCCACACACTGCTGGCTCATATGTAAGATCAAAGAAGCCCCCAGATTTGTTGCAGTGAAGAAATGATCACCTGCTGATCAAAAAAACCCGTCCAGCCTTCAGCCTTCATTCCCTCAGATTTGTCTGCATTTCGTTTTGTTTCTCCTCCGTCTCACTTCCACCTCGGGGTTGCTCAGGCACCAGAATACAGAGGCTGTTGTCCTCATCGTGCTGATGGCGTCTCGCTCTCCAACTTTGGGCGGTTTTTCCTTGAGGCCTTAGATAAAAAGAGAGCTCTTAGCACCGATCCTGCATTCAGCTTGAAGAAAGGATCCATCCGGTATTCTGAGTTGGATGTTTTGGCAGAAGAAAAAAAGGGCTGGTTGAGGCTGCACAAAGTTGGTTCCATACATTTGGAGATGGTTCCATCATCATCTTATTTTCAGGGCTGAGAAAAAAAGAAGATGCTAAATCCAGTATTTGCGGATTGTCTCTCAGGCTCTTCTGTCTAATTCAGTTTGTTGGGCTCTTTAGTTTTGGTGATACTTGCATTTCTGAGTCCTTCATAGTGTCACCTTCTACACCCCCTGAGGCTGGGTGTAAAACCTGCCTTTGCTGGATTTTCCCAGACTGCAGATGACTGAGATAAAACTAACTGAGGAGAGAAACAAGCTAAAACTAAGGAGGAATTGGCTGACAGAACAATCGACCGGAGGGACGGCAAGCCTCCAGAAGTTGTGGGTGCTCCATCACTGGAGGTTTTGAAGAAGAGATAGGACAACCATTTGTCCAGGGTGGTATAGGGTCTCCTGCTTGTGCAGGGGGTTGGACTAGAAGACCTCCAGGGTCCCTTCCAACTCTGTTATTCTATTATTTGGAGTGGGGGTGGATGAGGCCTGTTTGGCACAGTTCATTTAGAGAGACGGCTTCCTTTTCTCTGTGTTTTCTGATGGTCTCCTGCCATTTTCAGATCTGAGGTGCTGTTCCTGGGCCTTCTCTCTTTGCATCTTGTCTTGGTTTGAGGGGTAGACCCCCCCCCACCCCCCCACCCCGTATCAGCAGATATTTCATTAGGGCCATTGGGAAGGAGGTTCCCTGGCTCGCATAGATGGAACAAATGCCTGGCGAAAGTCCCAAGAGAGCCACGTTACGTATCTCAGAGCCGCTGCTGATTGCAGGAGTCCCTTTTTCTCTCCTGATGGCATAAAAACAGCCCACCTTCCCTGTCCTCTTCACAGGGGGACCAAGAGGACCAGCCCCTCAAGCCGTGCCGGATTTCAAGCCCCAGTTCCACCAGCTCCCTGGGCTATGGGCGCACCACGCCTCTTTGCGCTTCGCCTCCGAATTTCAGCCGAGCAGGTAAGGGGCCAAGCAGGCTCAAACCCCCCCCCCGTCTTCCTTCCTCCGCCAGAAGAGGCGCCTCTCTCTCTCTCTTGCAGAGCGGGTGGCCCAGAAAGCTTTAAACGTGGTCAGATAGACTGCCCTGAGAGGGAGCCCCTCCAGGGAGCTCTTTTTGGCCAGCAGCCAAGATCCCTGGCATCGAGGCCTCCCCACGGAAGGAGAAAAGCCCTTTTGGCAGTAGGGAGCAATTCTTCCGCCCCGGCCCCTGCTTTTCTGGAGGGTGGGCTGGGGGATTCCCTTGGCTGCCATCTTCTGCAACATCCATGCAGTTCAAACGGGGTCCCAGGTGTCGGCTGTGGATTAAGACACCTGAGCTGACTGGCCAATGTCACGCTTTCTATAGGTCAGGGACCAGTTTTATTACCCATTTTTTAGGGGAAAGGCAGAAGATAGATATTTTTACCAAATATGTATTTTTCTGGTGTACGTGTGCTTCTGTTTGCATGCTTAGAAACTCTCAAAGGGAAACCCGCCTCTAAATTTTTCAGCATTTGTGAGCAAGCGGAAAGGGTGAGAAAGGAGGCCAATTACCTTGAAATGCCTTCCTTTCTTTCTAGGAGAAAATTAGGAATGTTTTCAATGACGAATGTGTTCCAGGAGACATCCTTGTGCCTTGCCCTTTGTTGTTTGTTTATTTCGTGTTATTTTGTGGAAGTGTTATTCTGGGTGAGTGTGAGGGCTGAATCACTTTCCCCTGGCTGGTAACTCTTGAGGAAGCACCGGGTGATTGCACAGGCTGGGAAAAGCCCAGGAAGTTGAAGAAACGGGGGCAGAAGAGTTGGAACTTCCCGAAAAGCAGCCTCCTCCTGACCGAATGGGGATGCAGGCCGGGTCCCTTAGTGTGAGAGGCTGCCTCAGATGCCCCACAGATGCAGAGAAGCCACACAGGGACGATGAGACCCTGGGACACCTGGGGATCCCGCAAGATGGAGGAGGAGGAGGAGGAGGGCTTTCAGTTCTCCCAGCCGAGTTGAGGGCCTTTGAGGGGGGCAGAGAGCTCCCTGCCAGTGATCTGATCACACCAGCAACCAGGCTGAATCGTTGAGCTGAAGCACAGCCGGCTTCTACATGCCAGTCACCATTTCTCCAAGGCAGGGATGCAGGACGTGGTCCTCTCCTTGGCCAGCCCGCTGGGGAGGCAGCTGTCACTCATTTTTTTCTGCCATGCACCAACATTTGTCTTTTCTGACTTGGGTCTCTCTGGGGTCCAGCTGTCTGGATTGGTTGGTGGATGAGATTTCTAGAGCCACCAACACACAAACTACAAATTTCCTTGTAGGTCAACATCTTCATTCTGCGGTGGGCCGTAGTAAGGCTCCCTGGTTACCTCCGGGGCCATTGCATTTCTCCTTTTTAGCAAATTCACCCACAGAGTGGTGAGAAAGTGAAAAAAAAGCAGTTTCACTGACGGAGCCGTCAAAGGAAGGAAGCGGTCTTTGCGTTGTGCTTTTTCTGTTTGTTTGCATGGTTGCATGTTCTTGTGTTTAACCTGCTGAGAGTGGCAAGAGTCCTGCCTCTTTGGCTCTTGTACTGTGGCATTGTGATGCAAGCACCGTATGTGCCAGTTCACGGAGCAAACGCCCCAAAGGAGAGCTGGCATCGGGCCAGAGCCACCTTGTGTTCCCCCCCCTCCCCACATGCGCAGCTCTGCCTGGACTCCAGAGGGTCACGATGCCCCTGGCTTTTCCTTTGGAGAAGGAGGGGAGATCTTAAAAGTGAGGTAGCTCTCCTCTTGGGCAAATGACGATGAACTGCCCCCGAGAGCCTTCAGATCGGAGATGCCACCCATGGCTTCCATCGCTGTGTCTCCTTGCTTGCTCCTTGTATGACCTGCACGGCATCCTCGGCGTCTCACCTTCTCCTCCCTCCCCACCTGGTAAGAGGAGACCCATTCCCGGCACTTAGTTTGGGCTTTTGTGATGTTGCCTGTAGGTCATTCTTGGATTGTTGTGTCAACTCCGTCGCTCCTGGGTGGTGGAGCTGATGTTTCCAAAAATAAGCCAGGACTTCCCTGCGTTCATGGACATGATAGCAGTGGTGCTGAGTGACCCCAATCCTACCTTGGGGATAAGCCCTTTTCCTTCCAAGTCCTAAAGGAGGACTTTGGTTTAGTTGCAGTTTCCTTGTGGTTAGTAAAGAGCCTTTCATGGAAGTCTCCCTTTCAAATTCCAATCAGAATGTCCTGATAGGTATTAAGAAGACCCCGCTGTGCCCTGTACATATTACGCCCTGACACATTAGTCTTAAGGTCTTTACATCTGGATTTTTCCTTTCATCCACTAAATAAGGTTGATTAATGGTGTGAAACAATAATGCGTTTGGGTGTTTGTTTCCCTTTTATATGGTTTGTTGCTTAGGGTGATGTATCAACACAGGAAGTGTGATGATAAGACTTGGTTTATGGCTAATTGGGCATTTTTGTGGCAGACTTCCTACGGTGAGCAGCAGCTGCTCCTTGTCAAAGCAGCCCCTCTTTCAGGTTTCTGGGGGCTTTGAGACTTGCTTTAGTTTAAGGAGATTCCGCCTTAAAGCAGCCACATCTTTTTTCAGGCTCATGAAAGCATGGGGGAAAATATGGCTGTTTTATTGATTAGCAAAGAGGTGCTGTGTGCACATGAGATCCATAGGACAATTTCCGAATGCCTTTCAGGGTGCATACCCTCACAACAGTTAAGTCTGAACTATGCCACTGTGGCTTGTTCAAGTAACCATTGCTTACTGTGACTTGAACCAATGCATCGCTAAACAATGTAGATAAACTATGGACCCCCTCACCGACAGTGGTACTGTTCACGGGAAGTCCTGCACTGGACGGGAGAAGGTTCCAGCTCAGGAAATCCTGTCTTCAGAGGGCTCTGCCAAGAATCGGGTGGGCTGTGGCCAGACTGGGAAATGAAGGGGACAAAACGTAGAGCACCCCCTTTTTTCTGGGGCACACATCCTACTTGAAACGAAGGGGACTTTTGTCCTTGGTTTAGAACAGAGGGGCTCCCTCTGAGCAAAAGCTCTCTTGGCCTGAGAAGCCAAGCTCTCTGGGACGCTGCCTGCTGCCAGAATGGCCAGTGTCGCACTCTGACTGGGATGCTGGGAACTGTCCGATCCAGGGCAAACAATATTGGCACTTGTAGTGGGGCTTTTTTCATGCATTAAAAGATATTATTGTTGTGAGAACTTTCTAGCAAGTAAGTGAGTGAGTTTGTTTTCACTGAACTTTCTGTTGCCCCCAGCTGGTACCGAGACTCCTGGTACCAGTAGCTGCATCTCCCTGCCCAACTACCCAAGCCTTCCCTCTACATTCAGACATCATTACATCCCTTTCTTCAAAGGTAAGGCTCAGGAATGCCTCCCCCCCCCCCCCCCTCCGTGATGTGGTGCCTGTAGAGACATCTCCCGGTGTGTGCTTCATGCTCTCTGTGTCTGCATGTGCCTGTGTGGGGTGTTGTTCCTTCTGACGTTTGTGAGTCCTTTCTCACTTTGATGTCCAGCCCAGGCCCTCCACGAGAACGGGATGCTTACAGAAGGCAAAGCGTTTAAAACTTTATAAGCAATGCTGCATAATTTCAAACACAGTTTGTCAGTGTTTGGGTAAAGCCAAGAAGAAACCTCTTTGGTGTTTCGGTGGCTGGGCGTCTCCTGCGGTTGCTGAGGGCAGAGGGCTGTGGCCTCGCTTTCTTTAGAGAGCAGATGACCTGAAAGGCAGATGTTGGTGTCCATGATCCCAACACAAAGGAAGGGACTTGGGGAGGGGGGAGGCCGTTTGAGACCCAGGGTGACCTCAGATGCCTGGGGAGGAGCTGGGCTAAGGCTGCCTGTGGGCTGGGTGGGCAGCCATCCTCCTGACATGCTCTACCTTGAAAAGAACCAAGCCGCGTGAGGATCTGGGATCCCAGAACCAGAGTGGGTCCAAAGAGCTATTCCGGTGATCCCTGTATCGGATCAGCCAGGGACCTTCTCCTGACAAAGAGAGCTCCTTCCCAAGAGGATCACTGCCCCGTGGCCCTTTTTCTTTGAGTGGCCTTCTCCCACCGGGCACCCCTTCTTTGTGCCTCCAGGGCACCTTCTTACCGCTCATGTGCCCGTGCAGCTGGAAACAGGACGGCGGGTGTGCCCGTGCCCAGACCTACGTGCAGACCCACTAGGCGTCTTTTCATTCAGGTCAGCAGCGTTTCCACAGTGTAGGAACGGAGTGAGGGTTTTGGCGGCAGTGGAATCGCAGAGGACAAACCCAAACAGGCAATCCGCTGCCGGTCACTCACTTCTTATCAAAAATAACAAGTTATTTCCAGCCGCGATGGTGCTGCCCATGGTGCTTCTTTCGCCCTGCCTACAGAGTCTTTCCGCTCCTTCCAGTTGGTCTTCTGCCACCGGCAGGAGAAGCCTTTGCAGGCCCCGGGGCCCCCTGAGCCCTCCCCATTCGAAAAGAGCCAGGAGATGAACCGTAGGCCCGATGCTTGTCCCGTCGGAGGGCTGGCACAGAGCGGTGGGCCAGGATGCCCGAAAGGCCAGCAGAGCAGCCGGAGGCTCAGTGGGGCTCAGGAGCTGGGCAGGGGGCTTTTTTGGGAGAGGTGGAGGGAGACCTCTGGCCGTTCTCCAGGGAGCGCAAATGCATGGGGGCCTCCAGCTCCAGGTTTTTCCTGGTGAAACAGATGATCCCGATCACATGGTCCCCCTCTCATCCTGGAGTGATGGGTTCCTTTCAAAGGGTATTTCTAAACAAGCAGAAACCGCACGTTCCAAAGAAGGTATTTTGGCCCTGGGAATCCACCACTTGATCATCCAACATCTTCATTAACTGGAGATTCCCTTCTGAGCCCGACTCAAGCTTTTGGCCACGAGGCCCACGGAATCAGAGCCAGGGTGGACTACGAGCCCCAAACTACTTTAAAGGTGTGACGGATTAGCAATTTATCCAAGAGGAACTTTCTTCCATTGAATTTTACCTATTTTGCTTGCCATTTTTTGTTTTATATGCTTTTTCTTTTCTTTTCCATTTTTGTGCTCTTCCCTTTGGAGGCAGTGAAAGTGGCCGGAGCACCCCAAGCTTATCCCTCTGCTCAGACAGCAAATCTGCGTCCTCTCCCTATCAGCAGGCACCCAAACATTTTCATATTCCAGGTAGGGTTCATGAGCCCGTTTTCATCTTCCCTCGGGGCCTCCTGCCATGCCGTCTGCTATTGGGTAGTGGGGGGCAGAATGAACAAAATACGTACATTGGAAGAACTAAAATAGATTCCTTTAGAATAAAGGGCAGCTTTCTGTGGAAGGAAGGAAGGTCGGGGGGTTGCAAGGAAGTCATCAGAGATTTTTCCTCTCATCAGTTTTGGCTTGACTCCTAGCTGAGATTTCGGTCACCTGGCTAATTTTGAAGAAAGAAATAGACAGAGAGTTTATCACAAATTTCAGCTGAGACAATTTGAATGTAATTCTTCTAGGAATGAGGGAATCTTCTGGAGTCAAGTTTTTAAAATTGTCTTTCATTATAAAAGACATTATGATTAATCAGAGAAATCCATGCTTTGATATAAATATTTGGGAAGAATTGTGAGCTTGGATCCCAACATTTTGCTCAATGAATGAAAGAGGAAGTTGGCCTTTCCGTTAGGAGAAAATTGGCATTGTTCCCCCAACAAAATGTGGAGTCCAGTGTAATGCCCTTGCTTGAGATTCATGGGGAAACGGGGTGGGAGGGCTTCAAAAGAGAGAAATCCTGTTTCCATTGCTTGTTTTCTTTCTTTTCTTCTTTTCTTTCCTTTTCCTCAGAGACTGGAATAAAAGATAACATCTATAGGAAACCCCCCATCTATCGACAGCATGGTACAGTCTTCTGCTTTGCTCACCTCCCTGGTACATTTCCACCCCCCCACCCCCTTGGCACGTGGGTTGCTGCTGTGTTCTCCTGGGGTCAGTTCTGGGGTGCCATTGGGGCATTTTGTCTACATTTTGTCCGTGAGCATCCATGCCAGCCCTCTCGGCCCTCTGCCTGGCGCAGCCGGGCAAAAGGCTTTGTGGCTGAGCTGCAGCACAGGTCTCCTTTCAGCCGAGGGCGCCAGAGCTCCCTGCCCCCAAAACAGGCTGCCCTCCCTTCCCCTGAGAAGACGCCTCACGGCAGCAGCCTGACACTGTGAATGCTGTGGGTGCGCTGGCACCCCCTTATCATTCCCCCCCCCCCCGCGAGGCGTGAGAGCCAGGGAGCTACTGGGGTGCTGCACTTTGCCCTCTGCAGCCTGGAGGAGGCCTGGGGAGTTCTCAGTCTTTGGGGTTGGCTGTGGGGGGGGGGACACCGGCAGATGCTCTTGCAGGGTTTCTGTGATTTGGGGGAGGGGGGGAACTAGTGGGGCGCAGGAGCATCCTCAGTGCTGAATGAAGAATCCTTCGTTTCGCCACAAAGCCTGGGTTGACTCATCCATTCTCTACCACACGACACAAGGCCCCTTTCGGCTGGACTCCTCCAAAAACGTAACTGGGGAGAGGGGTCACACTTGCAGGGGAGCCGTTTGATTGTCCGAACGGTGGAAGCAACTGAGGTGGAGAAGGAAGGGCCAGAGCATCCAGGCTGCCTTTTTCAGACCACAGGAAGCAAAGAGGCCCAAATGCAGACCCAAAACTCCGCAGTGAACATGGCAAGGAGGCGGTTGGGTGAGAGCAGGCCAAGGACCCCCCCCCTCCTCCACCCCCGTGACTTTCCCTCCCCATTAACTCCTGGGAGAGGATCATGGGACCTCATGGCCTCTCGGCAGGAAGTGGAGCCTTGGCTGGAACCAGGCGCTGGGCCTTCTAGTGGCCACGGAGGGGCAGAGGCACCTTCCCCCCCCCCACTTTTTTTTTTTTAAGCCAGGCGCCCAGATCCCATCACTACCCAGGGACCTTTGCAAGTGGAGCAGCTGACATGCCGGCTGCTTCTTCCTCCTTTCTAGTGACAGGAGAGTCCTGTTACAGGGCTCATTTCTTCAAAGAGTTTGCAGTTGCTCTGCAGCCTTTGCAGTGTGTCTGGGTAGAATTGTGTATAGGTTGCTTGTATAGGCGAGAAAAGATCGCATCAAAGGCACTTGGCTTCTGCTGGATGGTGCATCAATATTTTTAAATGGAAAAAAGAAAAAAGCACCATGGATTACATGTTGAATAGGTCAAAATCAAGAATGTTTTGTCTGCAGAGGGTCGACAGGTTCTGGATGGTTCTCGGATGACCTCGCTGGCTTGTGATCATCCTCCTGTTTCAGTTTCTTGATCAAAATAGCTTTGAGCTCCCAGGACAGACAGCGCCTGTCAAGCTGGAATAGGCCACACCATTTGAGATGAAAGCTTTTTTTTTTTTCTTCTATTTAACCTAGAGAACAAATAAGCCACGGGCGTTTTGCAGTACTTAAAAATTGACCATACAAGCTTTGTAGGAATTCTGCAATAAGGGATTGTAAGCCTCTCCCTCCTGAAGGGCCAGCTCGCCCATTCCCACAGGCCCCAGCGTTGATCCCGGGGGAGCATCTCTTGGCCAAAATCCAAGAGCATCTCTTGCAGCTCTGTCTCTGACCCCTCGCCTGGCCCAATCCGCATTCAGGAGTTGCTTCAGAGGACAGGCAGCCTATTTTAATCTAGATTTTATGGAGCAATGGAGGGTTGTGTCTCCACTGTACCAAGGGTTCAGCCCCACAACCCTCACGATCCCATCTTGTGACAATGGTCCCCTCTTCAGATGGGTCCTAAACAGCCCCTAATAGCAAGAGCCGATTGGAAATTTGGGCCCCGACATGCCACCACGGCAGGTGCTGTAGAGCGAGGCTGAGCGATGGGACCGAACGGCAGGATTGGGCTCCATGACGGCAGTGGAGTCCACGCCTGCCCCAAAGCGGGCCTGATCCGTGGGGAGGAAGAGCGAAAGTCCCGTCTGCAGCTGCAGGGACTTCTCTGGCGGGAGAGCTGAGGGTTGAGTGGCAGCTGTTCCTCTTCTGTCACTTTGATTTGCTAAATGAAGAGGAAAGAAGGGCAAGAACTGGAGCTGCAGAGGAAGGAAGGTCCTCGTCAGAAAGGAGCCCCGTCCCTCCGTTTCTCTTTCGGGGCCTCCCCCGCAGGGAGCCGAGCCTGTTGTCCCAGCAGTGATTCCCTCCGCCTGAATCCCTCCCCACCTTTTTGCCCCCCTCCTGCATATTTGGGGCAGAGAGAGATTTAAAATCACAGCTTTCTTTTTTCTTTTTTACCTTGGACATTTTTTTTTTTGTCTAGGCTCAAGGAAATCAGACGGAGAGGGGAGTTCTGATCAAGAGAGCAAGAAGGTAAATTTCAGTAACATCCAGGAGGTAGGATGTCCGTTGGCCTAAGGCCCCCGTTCCGCAATCTAGTGCTGTGTTAAAACCACAGAGCACATATTTAATTGTGGTTGTGTTCAAAACTTGAATAAAAATAAGCCAGTTTTCCAAACAGCCCTTCCTCCTCCCCTTCCTTCTTCACTGTCGTGATAAGCCTCGGTCATTAAAAAGGCCTTTGGCTAAAAGCATCATAAACAGGACGAAGTAGGTAAGGATGCATGGAAGCTTATGGGACGATACGTTGGTTAAGTCTCCAAAGCGATAACAGTTGAAATGTGACGTTTGATCCTTCTAAATTATCAATCTTATAATGAATTAGGCATAGATGAGATGCAGGTGGGTTATTGTCATTGTTTTTAATGCCTTCAAGTCAATGTTGGTTCTTAGCAACTTTTGGGACATTTTTCTGCAGTTTTCTTCTCAAAAGTCTCAGCAATGGTTTGGCTGGGGCTGAGAGAGAGTGGCTGGCTCAGAGTTGTCAGTCCCCCCTCCCCCCGTCCTGTCCCCCCCACACACACACACACCCCCAGGCTTCAGGCCCTGAACAATCTCACCAAACTGGCTCTCACTGACCTACCGATATGTGTTCAAGGCAGAGGAGGGCTTACCTTACGGAGCCTGAGGTTGAAAGGCAGCCAGGGAACGCTCCCCGCCAAGTGAGCAGACCAAGAGAGGGGTCACTCCAGCCGGGAAGTCCTGCAATGATTTCCAGCCCACTCAGTCAGCAAAGAGGGATGGAGCTAAAGCGGAAGCAGAGCCCACCCAGACCACAATGCGTTGCCTCCGTCCATGAAGCTGCAGTGGTTTTCCTCAGGTGGATCCTTTAGCACAACCTTCGCCTTTCTCCTCCAGCGCTCGGCCCTTTCTCAGTCTCCCTCTGGGTCCTGCCCCTCTCTGACACACTGGCCCCCTTTGCAAGGGTCCGGGTCCATCACGGACGTCCTTTGCAACCCACAAGGGGCTCTAAGTGAGGAGACACATGCCATGACAACGTCATGCAACAGATGCCATCCATATTTGTGTCCCAATGTCATGGGTGTGATGACTGTGCAACATGCCCTCTGCCCTCATCAGGGCTTCCTTCCTTCCTTCCTTCGCTCAGCTTCTTGTCGCCATCCCTGCTCCCCTCCCACCAGCCCCCAAGGGGGAAGGGCGCTTTCTCTGCAAACTGTTGGCCGAATCCCTCAACAGGCCCACCTGACCCCCCTCTTGAAGGAAGTTGCAGGCCTGGGGGGGAGGGGCATCTGAAACTGAGAGCAGCCACCTCTCATCAGCCCTTCTAATCAATAGGAATTGATTATCCCCTTGGTAGAAATCACTTTAAAACTGGAAGAGAAATGCAGTTTTCTTGATTCACGTAACGATCCCCACCCCCCACCCCACCCCGTTGACCTGTTGAAAAGTGCAAGATATTTAAAGTTGGGAATTGTTTCTCCTAGTTGAAGTCCAGCTGGCTGACTCTGAAAGGGGACGTGGACTTTAGAACTAACTCGCCTGACTTGGATACTCAGTCGCTGCCTCAAAGTCCTGGGACAGACCGACAACTCCAGCGGCTGCAAAGCAACACCAACTGCACCTACCTACGTAAGTCCCCGGCTGCTGCCGGCCCTTCCAGGTAGTCCAGAGCAGGAAACCAGAAGTGCGCCTACTCACCCGGCCTGGCCTCTGAGGGTACAGGAATAGACCTTTCCATTCGCGCCTGAAAGGGCTTCCCACCCACTCGGCCTCTAGTAGTCCTCGACTCACAGCCACAGTTGGAATTTCAGTTGCCAAGCAGTGCGGTCACAAAGCGGGACATCACTTAGCTGCATTGCTTAGCAACCATAACCAGGCCAGGCCCTGTTCTCAGCTCTACTTGTGGCGGGATTTGCAGCTTCCGCTTAGGACGCTGTCGCCACAGAGCAACAAGAACCCAAGGCCAAACCCTGTGATAATGCTCGGGTGCCCGTGACGGATTCTGCCTCCCTGGTGGCGTCTTGCTCTGAGGTCTCCCCATTTTCTGTCGTTGAAGGTCTCTCTCCCCTTCTGTGTCTTGCACAGGATTCCCGTACTCCAAATCGGCCTCTCTTCCCGACTACGGAAAGCAAGGCTTGCAACACGTAGGTAGATGTGAATGCGCAGTGCCAGATCTGAATGGACGATCGATGGAGTCCCGGCCCTTTTCTAGAACAGCCCATCCAGGGGGTCTCGGCTGCCATCGTCGGGGGTCTCCGGCTCTTCTCCCCCACCAACGCTTCCCTCCCCCCCCAAAAGCTTTCAGCAGCATCTGGAGGCTTTGCAAGTGCCGCTTTGCCCTGCCCCTCCTGCAGCTCTCCAGATTGGGAGACGGAGACGGGGCCCCCTGGAAAAGTCTCTCTCTTGGGAGGGGCTTGCCCTCCAGAACCCTCCTCCCCAGGATGGCATGATTGGGATCCTTGTTCTTGTTCTTGTACTTGTTGATTTAATTCACCATCACAAAGGATTTTATTTTATGAATCAACCTTGAGTTAACAGTTAAGCAGAATTTCCTTTATGGATAGTCCTTGAATTACGGCCACATATGGGACCAGAGTGTATCCAAAGTGGTTTTTACTTTTAAAAAGGCAACCGGGCTGATTTTTTGAGGAAAAAGAAGACGTTTCACATCCCAACACTCCCTATTCCCGTCGTTAAGCGAATTCTACTGGTAGTTAGCCAAAGATCTGCCCCAATGCAAGTCATTACAGGCTCGGTCCATAATCATCTCAAAATGTGCTTGACAAAAAACCTTGCGATGGACTTGCATTGGAATCGACTTCTACACAATCCTCACTCACTCACACCCACCCACCCAAATCTTTCTTTCTCTTCTAGGCTGCAGGTGTGGGCCCAGATGACCAGGAGGCGGCCTGGGGAAAGAGAGGTACTCAGTCTGCCCAGCCCTCCCTGGGGAGGGGGGCAGGGGGCTTTTCCCAACTGAATTTATGCCCCAATCCACAAATCAGGCTCTACAAACCACCTTCAAAACAAACTTGGATCACTCCAGGTACACAGGAGTGATCAGAACTGTAATGCTTTTGGGGGGGGGGGTGTCAGTCCAGGCCGGCCTCTTGCCAAACTGGCTGTCCCTCTTCCCCATCCCTCTGGCTCTGGAAGCACCCACTTGTTCTGCCCCCACCTCGCCTGGCGGCACTGTTGCGATGCCCCTTTCCCTTTCAGGCTCGTCCCTGCCTGCACTCATAGTGTCCAGCCTGCCCCCGTAAAGTTTTCTTTAGTGCTGGAACTTGGGAGCAGAAGAGAGCTGGTGTCTCCTGGGTTAGGGTCACGGGAGGTCCGTGTGCACCTGTCCGGCCTGCCCCCTGACACCCCTTGTGGTGGGGCAATGGCCTCACGGCCCAATGCAGGACCAGCCCTTGCTCTGCCCCAAAGACAGCCCCCTCCAGGGGGGCTGCAGCAGCCGACCTGCCCCCAGACCAACAAAGAGCCCCTCCCTCCCTCGCCTGATGTCCGAAGGGCCACTTCTCAGTGGGCTCCCTCTGTGCAATCTGGGCACAGCTGGAAAGCCATCCATGCTCTCCCCCAGTAGGAAAACCAAGGAGAATCCAGAAAGACAGGCTGTGTTCTAATTGAATCTACCTGATTTATTTTCTTTCTTTCTCTTTTGCAGAATACAAGGTAAGGAAAGCTATTAAGGACATCAAAGCGTGTTGAAATCCAGCCTTTTTGTGCAAAAGCTTCACTCCTTTCTTCTTTACTCCGTGTAAAGACTGAGCGAGTATGTACATCTCTCTAAAAATGGCCACAGGAGCCCCGTTTTCCCAGCAGTCAGCCTTTCTCCTTTTCTCCCAGGTCTATCCCTATGAAACCCTTATTGTCACCAACAGAGTTCGAGTAAAACTACCAAAGGATGTGGACAGAACCAGACTGGAGGTAAGAAAAGATGATATGGTTACTCTGCAGATTAATTGCAAATATGAACCAACCCATCTCATAGAAGTTCCAGAACTGGTGTTAGTTTGATAGATTTTGTTTTGTTTTTTCACACTGGCTAAGAAGATGTAAAGGTACAACTGTGTAGCCGAAGAGCGTCAGATTAGAAAAGAGTCTTTGGAGTGATGTGATCTAAATCCTGGAAAGGATAGCTACACGTTTTGATGGTCTCTCCTATTTAATCCTTTTAAGACATAAACTTGCTAAAAAAGAAACTACTGCTAGAGGACTTTTGAGTAGGACTTCAAGAATCTCTGCTTGCAAATATTAATAATGGTGGGATTTCATATGCCGTGCAATGTTACGGATGGTAACGGCCTTGAGCTCAGCACAAGTGGAGGGTCCATATTATTTGCCAACTATTCGTTAATTTGAAGAACTGTGAAAATTGAATAAATGGTTAAAATTCCAATGAACCTTAAACTCTATGCTTTATACATGTAAGTCTCAGTCTCCCTCTCTCTCTCTCTCTCTCACACACCCACACCCACCATGCAAGTAGAGTAAGAAATCAGAATGAAGAGTTCAACTTGCAATAGATGAATGAGATTTACCTGCAAGCTTAACAAAAATAAAAGATTTATGGACTGTAGCAATATTAAATTCTGTAAAGGACATAGCTGTGTCTATTTTGCTGTTTTTTAAATTTATTTATTTGTTGCAAAATGAAAAAAGAGAAACAGAAAAAGAAAGCAACAAAAACATAGTCCATTTAATAAGCATTAGGTATAATTTTTGAAAACACTAAACTTTGACCACAGAAAATATTGCTGATCGATCTTTCTTCTCCATCAGGAGAGCCAGCTCATAAAGAGAAGGCAAAGGTAGAACCCAGCTGGAAGAGCCTTCCTTTTAGCTGCCCCCTGCTCTGTAAATCCATCGTTTGTAACGTAGTGACCCATCCCCAATTTCTGGTACCCTCAGCATAGTGGGCTCAGTCCTGTGGCGTCCATGCAGGGGGCACGGTGGGGCATCTCCTGCTCCTCTCTGCCCTGAGAGCTTAGGAGGAAGAAGGTGAATGGCAGAGCATTTCTAGAAGTTTCTTCCCTCACAACACCAGGCAGCTCCCTCGGCTCTTTTGCTTTGTGGGTAGTCACCCGAAGGCGCGAATTTGTTCAGCTCCTGGCTAGAACCTTCTAGAACAACGTTCCAGGCTATGAGGCTGAGATTGGTGGTCCACGTGACTGAAATTTCCAGAATGGATTCACACCTTGAAGTTCTATCATGGAACACTACTGACAAACATACAGAAATTCAACCAAACGGAGAGCCCATACGGGATGAAAAACTCTCCCCTCACCCTTTTAGGTTTCAACGTGGTGAGGTTGGTAGGAGAAACCTTCACTGGTGGTTTGCTCCAGCTTGTGTTTTTCTCTAATTCTACCATTCTAAACTATATAATTAGACGACAATCTCTCCAGAGAATACTCTTCACTTGACTTGGAAAATTTCCTTTGATGGTGTGTTGCTTCTGCAGATCAAATGGGAAGGGAGAGAGAGAGAGAGAGAGAGAGAGAGAGAGAGAGAGAGACGGCATTACAGTCAGTGAGGGATTGACTAAAGTGTGTGTGCTTTCATATGGACAGGGCAAAAATGGATGTTTCCAGAGGCAGATTCAGATGAGTCACAGAGTGGCCCATTTGTACAGAAAGTTTCCTCCGGAGTTCGGGGTGGGGGGGAAGTTTTCCGATGCCATCTGGCCGCTTAACTGAATAGGCTGTTCTTGCTCTGTTAAACAAAAGTTGTGGCTTGATCCACAACTTCTCAATCTCTTGGTTTCTGGTCTGCTGCATAACATGGATTTGGCCTCTCTTTGAAGTACTTACAAAGTGCCTTCTCTGTTTTCAAGCACCACCTGTCCTCCGAGGAGTTTCAGGAGGTCTTCAAAATGAGCCTTGAACAGTTTGAACGACTTGCACTTTGGAAACGCAACGAGCTAAAGAAAAAAGCTTTGCTTTTTTAGCCTTCCTGAAACGAAGAGAAACGTGCTTGACGTAAGCCAGCTCCATCCTTCCTTCCACCACCTGTGTCCACCTGCAACTGACCTCATATCGCTTCACTGTATTCGGGCAGAAAAACAGACCCAACGGGAGGCCCAGCTCACTCTCGCCCCCGGCCAGGTCATTAAAGGGTGTAACCAATCTCGCTTCCAGTTATTGCTTTATTTGTTGCTTGTTGCAAAGACAAAACCAAACCCGTTAATCTCAGATAGGAAAGAAATAACTCTCATTTTGACCAAAGCAAAATACTTGGCTACTGTTTGGTCTCTACATTTTTGGGCTTGTATACAAAGTCAGAGTTGATGAAAAGGGAGGGGGACTTCCTCCAGGAGCAAAATAAAATAAAATAAAGCCAATGTGAAAAAGGTCAAAGAAAAAGCATGTTAGAAACTCACTCTTGCCAATGATTGTGTATGACACCTTTTAAAAATAAAACTAGAGCAAACCTACACTGCAATGTTTTGAAATCTAATTTTCTCACATGCAACTGGTATTTCAGACGCAAAGTACTGTAACAAATGAAAAATAGTTATAAAACCTTTTTATTTTATATTACGTAAGTGTAACGTAAGCGTTGTCCAGATTGGCAAAATATAATTCATCTTAGCTGTACTTTGTTTAAAACGTGTGAAATGTTTACATTTGTGGAACGAAATTCTCCTAAATTTAAATTTAAATTCTAGGGATGATATAGAAATTCTGTATTTACAAAAAAATAGTGCATTCTAGTATGGAAAAAGTCATCTGGCTGTGCAATCCTGGCTTTGTCCTCCCATTTTTCTCCCCCATTTCACACTGACACACAAAACATGTAATTTTCTGATGCACCTGTCGGCATCCTCATTAAACGTCTTGTTTTGTAACTGACCACTCTCTGGGTCGTCTTCCCCTCCCGTCATGGTTGCTCTGGGCAGGAAAAGGAGCTCCGTGTTTGGTCCAAAGATTCCCCCCCCTCCCCGCCTCCAGTAGCCTGGTGGAGGGGCCGGCTACTCCTAGTCCTCCCACACAAGGAACTTGGATCTGGCAGGATCCGGTGGGTGGAGGGTGAAGGCATCCCCAGGTTTGGAGGCTGCAGCCTTCCCACCCATTTCCAGGCTCCTTCCAAGTGGGTGACCTTGGGCCATCGCTCTCCCTCTCAGCCCAACCCACCTCAGAGGGCTGTTGTGGGGAAAATAGCAAGAGGGAGGAGCATTGGATATGTTTGCCACCTTAAGTTATCAAAATAATAAACGCATAAAAGTAAATGTAATAAAATGCAGACCAAGGGATCTTCCATCGACCTGGTTAAGCATGCTGTGTGGATGTCAGACTGTGCATATATTCCCAAAGCACCAGGGTCTCCTCTCCATTCTCCACTCCATGAGCTGCCCCCAGCTGTCATTTCCAACTCTGCTCCTTTTCTGCTATCCTGCTTGTTGGCAGGACCCTCCTTCCCGGTTCTGTGGGCTCCTCCTGCTGGGGTCTTCAGTGGCGCCTCCCCAACCCTCCTGCCATTCTGCTGCCTCCTTCACTTGCCTCCTTGTCTGGCTGGCTCCCTTCAAGGCCCGGTCAGAGGCTCCCAACCGAAGCCCCTGGATGCTGGAGGTGACTCCCCAAGGAACCGTCCTAAATAAAAATTCTGCCTTGCTTTTTTAGGCGGGAAAGGGGCTCTCATGAAAAACTTGCTGAAAAACCTGAATAAACATTGCTCAGAAGCTCAGAATACCCTTGATTAAACAAAAGGAGATTAAAATCTAGGAAGCAGGTATTAAATGCACAGAATGGAGACTCGATTCACATGATTGGAAAATGACAGTTGAAAGATGGAGATAACATTTGTTGAAAAGGCACAAGCCCGGTTGGTGAACATAGTCCGTCCTTGGTGTGGAGCAGTGGGTCTCATTTGGGGAAGGGGGGCTTGGAAACCGCCAACTGACTGCCCAGATCCAGAGAAAGATGCGAAGACGGAGCCCCCTCCCCAGTCTTTTCTCCCATGGGTTTTGGGGGGGAGGGAAATGCCCAATGACTCTTTGCTTCTAAACAAACATCTGGGGAGGTAAAACACGCTAATTGACACAAATGCAGGGTTTTATTTTAACTTTCTTTCAAAACTTTCTTTTTTTAATAAAGACCGTGTGATCTTGTCATTTGGGGAGAGATTGTTCTAAAGGAAGAATGACAGATTACTGTGTAAAGGGAAGGCTCCATGATGCAGCTGCCCAAATGCAAGGCCAGAAACCTCCATATAATTAACTCTCAGAAGTTCAGGGGGACGAACACCCTGCTCTTTCCCACCAGAGAAAACGTTTTAAGAGGCCAATTTAGGAATAAAAAGACCACAGGAACACAAGCAGAGACAAGCGGTCGGAAACGAGCCAGTCCTGTATGGAAGACCAATCCAGCGTTGGACGAGACCAACAATGGTCTGTTTACAAGGACCGTTCTCATTGGATCTCAGGATTTGGAGGACCAAAAGCCACCAATTCCCTCCTTAGTGTGCATTTTACCCAGAGAACAATGTTCCTTTTCCACCCCAATTTCTTCAAAGCTCCAGAGAAGATAAAGGTCTTTGTGGAAAACCAGAATAAAAACCAAATGGTTCCAATCCTCCTTTTCCAAGGAAAACCACCTCTGTCATTCTCTCTCACCTGGATTTGCATGGTTCCATAGGTATCGGCTGACATGCATTAGGACATATTCCCCTGTGTTGTGTTGTGTTGTGTTGTGTTGTGTTGGCTAAGTGGCAGTTAGGAAACCATGAATCTCCCAGTCCCCCTTTCCTTTCTAAAGCATGCAAAGCAATGGCCTCGTTCTCTTTCTCCTCTTTGTTGACCTTCATCCTGCCAGCTGGGGCTGTTGGGACAACTGGAACAGACCAGGGGAAAAGAAGGCGGGGATGGATCCGGTGCCCCTTGCAGGTACTAATGGGAGGAAAGGCAGAGAGTTTCAGGGAGTGGGGGGCTCTGGCGAAGGCCCCCCTACCCTGAGTGGGGCCATATTAACCTGGACACATTTTAACCAGCAGCATAAAGCCTTGGCCTTCCAAAAAATATGTTTGTTACAAATGTAGGAGAGAGGGAAAGAGTTAGATTTGGATCAATAAAGACAGATAGAGAGGTCCATATGCAACCAAAAGTTTCTTTCTTTTTTCTTTTTATTTTGTAAAAAATGACACATTCACAATAACATTTATAAAACTCTGGAAATCTTCACCACACAAGAAGACAAAACTTACATACTTCAAATGCGGAATACTTTGCACTCCCGTATTGTCTCGGTTGGAAGAAGAGCCTTCAGTGGGCTAAATAAGGATTTTTTAAAAATCAGGGAAACAAGGCAGGGTGGAGATGAGGCACAGATTTTTGAAGGGAGATCGGGGCGGAGGACGGTTGAGAATGCAAACTATTCCAAGTTTAGACGGGTAGCCAAGCCGCACTCCAGAAACCATGGTCCCCTGCCCATCTCTCCCTTTTGCCAGCTTCCAATTAAACCACACCCAGACACACCCAGGAAGATCACAGCTTTTGCACAGTATCCCTCTAGCGGCCTCACTCTCACACCCAGGCAGCTGCCCAACCTCCCCCTCCAAGCAGGGAGAGGTTTTGCTGGAGGCAACTGGCCCTTTTCTGGCCAGGACTTCCGTGACCGTCCTGGAGAAGAAGCGTCCCAGCAGGGTCTTTGGGGGGGGGCAAGAAGGGTCCGTTCACTCCACCGAGGGATGTTTGCACCCCTGGGAGCTCCCAAGTCCAGGCTTTGTCCCCTGGCCATAGAAAGAGCGACCAGCAAAGTCTCTCTGCATTATATAAATATATACCGTAAAGCTAGACCGTAACTATTTACATTCTTTCCAATAAATAAATAGATCAGGGGAAAAAAACTATAGTTTTCTTCTTTTATTTAGTAGCTTTGGTCTCTTAAATTCCTTCATCTGAAGTCTTAGCTGCCTATTCTTCATCCTCAAAATTTCACTTTTGATTCACCTAACAACAAAAGATTGCAAAAATACACTTAAGCAAATAACATCTGATTTTTTTTTCATGTAATCGTATCATAAAGAAGGAAATTAAATCAGTCACCAGAATCGGTAAGTCAAAAGCATCTGGGGAATTACAAATACTCTGTATTGCCTTCTTTATAAGACAAATGACTACTCCAGGGATGTCTCGGGGGGGCAAAAGAGTCAAGATGGCAGCTGCAGCTGCACCATTAAAGCTTTGCCCCTTTAAGATGCCCTCCGAGGTCCCAGAAGGGAGCCCAGCCATGGCCTCTGCCATCCCTCAGCCCCCATCCAGGAGCCCCCTAGATGCCCCAGGCAAGTCCTCCTGGGCAGAGGGCCAGCTCACTCCCTGGCACCCATGCCACCCATGCACCACAAACCCCAAGGCTCCCCTCCCCACCCTTGGGTTCCCCCCAGGGAGAAGAGCAGGTCCTAAGCAGACTGTCTCCACTTGTCTTCCCCACGCGATGCCTTTAACTTCCTCCCCCCCTTCAAGCATTATCAGTTGGGGGGGGGTCCCCTGGCGCACTCCAGGCTCATCACCCGACCTTGGTCTCTTTGGGATCCCACCACCCATCACTGAGTTTTTTGTTTGTTTGTTTTTAAGAAAAAAGTCATCTTATGCTTCTTTCCTGTCCTTATACTCAGAGGAGTGTTGCATAAAAATAAATATTTCCAAGCAAAGTGATACAAGGAATAAATTAAGTCTAGTAAATAAAAAAGTAGTTCTGATCTTAATTTCCCAAACACAGAAGAAATCCCCCATTTGACAAAGTGGAACAAAGTGTCTCGTTCCCTTTTTTTCAAAGTAAATTCCAGTGTGCTGCACTTCACCCTGTAGAAAACACCGCAAAACATCGGGAGGAAAGGATGGTTAACTCACGGACAGACAAGGAACTGGCCTCAAAGACATGAATGACCAACCACAAAAACGGTTTAGCCTCCACATAACGTAACAAGCATTCAAGGAGCTCGGAGCCATTCCTCAGTCCTCCAGAGGTACGTGGCAGGAAGAAGCACAGCGGGTCAAACGGCCGCCTTTCTCTTGTCCTAGTGGAGCACTGAAGCCATGGCAAGAGCCGGAAGTCACGGGGGACATGAAGAAACAGCAACGGGTACAAAGGGAGAGCTCCTTTCAGAGGCAAGCAAGGATGGGGCGGGGGGGGGGGGTTAGGCATCTTCCTTAGACTGAATGCTAGTTAATTCCACCATTGAGCTCTTGTTGCCAGTTGCTGGAGCGAGCCCATTCACGGCTGGCCTCTCAAACCCACTGGAGATCTCTTCAAAAGTCCTGCCTTTTGTCTCAGGGACTTTGAAGATGGTGAAGATGAAGAAGAAAATAAGGAAGCCAACGAAGATCAGGAAAACATAAGGCCCACATAATTTCTGCAAGGAAGATAAGGAAAATGTTATCTTTGCTCTAAGACAATGGAAGTTCAAACATACATTAGCTCTGGTCTGGAGGAACAAGCGTCAGGGCCCAGTCAAGTCCTTTATTCAACAGCCCATTTCCCCACCCCCCCACCACCACCAAACTGAAACCTATCCTACCCTATGACACAGCCAGGCTAGATTGATGGCATGCCACAAGAAGAAACGCCTCATCCTCAGAGTCACCAAAGGTCATTCCAGGAGCAGGAGTCACAAGGATAAGGACCTTCTGTGGCTTGGTTCTTCATGAGGAGCAGAAGCAGGAACTTTGCTCAAGTTAATATTTATGCCACCCCTCTTCTCCTGGGCTTCAACTGAGCAATGAACAATGTTTGTTTGTTTTTTAAGAAAAAGGGTGCAGCCCACCCTCCAAATTCCCCCTCACAACAGCCGTTCTGACAACAGCCACCGGCAGTTCTCGCCCCCTTTCAGTGCTTGCCCTTTCCTTCTCCTATTTCCCACCTGTGGAGACATTTTTGATGGCCAGATCCAACAAAGAAGGTTCAACTTAAGAGTCCTTACCACCGCATAGGGAAAGAGCATGCCCACCAAGAAGTTGGAGGCCCAGTTGCAGAAACCAGCCACGGCCACGGCTGCAGGACGAGGGCCCTGGCTGAAGAGTTCGGACACAATGAACCACGGGATCGGTCCAGGTCCAATTTCAAAAAAAGCCACAAAGGCAAAAGTGCCAAAAATACTGACGTAGCTCATCCAAGTCACAATTTTCTGCAAAAACAGAAATGTAGAGTGAAGCTCTCGTAATCCCAGGGAGACATTGGTTGATCCCAACTTTTAGCATCTGCTCACCTGGGAATCAATCAACCAGGAAGCTATCTTGGGTCAAATGGTGCAAGCAGAGACTGCACAATCTCTCCAGATTTCTTTGGAGAGCAGAGATGAGCATCTCCCACGGTTCATTCTTATTTCTGGCCTTGTTTGGCCAGCAAAACATTTTAGTCAAAGAGAGGCTAAAACTGGAGAAGTACCTGGAGAAATATCTCAAACCTTCTACACTTTCTATCTTTCCAAAACACTTACACCGATTTGGTGGCACTCTGTTTTGGTTCAATCTAGTTGGCCACTTAAACATTGGGATATATGGGAGTGTGCGTGCATGTGTGTGTGTGTATAATTCATGACCTTGATTTTGATTCCTGCACTCCTAAACCGCTTGGGGGGAAGACATCTCAAGGACTTTCTGTTCTTCTATGAACCATGTAGAAGGGAGTCTCTTATCTCTAAAAGGCAGCCGTACAGAGTGGCCTTGATTATCTTATTTCTAGGCTAGATTGTACAACCTGTGACTGTGAGAAAACTTGATTAGTGGTTTTATGCCTGGTGGTGGGGGGAGGGGGGACGTAAAACCCCCGAGAGATGCAGCTCCAGACATGAAACTGCTGTTCTGTTTCTCCAGATGCGTTAACTTCAGTCCAAATCTTGAGGGGGCTGCCGTGAGCCAGAAATGCTGCTGCCTACCTTCAGCGCCAAGGAGACGGTCATGACGGCTGCGCAGACAGCCATGCCCATTAAGCCAACCAGGTGGAGGGTCCGACGCCCTGCCCGCTCCACAAGGAAGAGCTGCAGAATGGGAAGAGGACACAGAGGATTGCAGTGGGCAGCAGATCTCTCTGCCACCAGAGATACCAGACAGTGTTCAAAAAGCTCTCCATGAAATGGCCAATTGGATCCTGTTGCTGTGACTGCCGAACTTATTTTACTGCACCCTCTGGAATCCCCTCTCAGCAGAGAGGTCCAGTGTGGTACCACATTTTAAAGGCAACACACACATGCGCCTTCAGTGGCCTCCTGATAGGCACCAGAATGTGGAATATCCATCCTTCAGCCCATCCCAAGTCAACACGTCGGTCACACTTGAGTGATTTAAGCTCCATTTTTCTTTTAACATCATGGCTCTCCACCAACCCCCAAAGCTGCCCCTGATGTTTTTTCCTCTGCAAGTGCCTCCAGATTTCCAGGAGGGTCTTTCACCTCAGACCCCCCTCCCCCAAATGCAGGGTGATCCCATCCTCTGTCACCACGTACCGACACTACAGTAAAGACGGTATTGACCACGCCGGCCCCGATGGTGGCGTAAACTGGCTGCTTCACTCCGGCATCTTCGAAGATCCCAGTGGAATAGTAGAACACCTAGAGGCAGGAGGAGAGTGGACGGCGGCACTTAGAACAGGAGGGACAACTTCAGCTCTGAGCACAGCACCTGCTAGGAGGACAGGTGAGGAAGGGAGGACTCTCTGGCACCTCGGTGAGCGCAATTTCTTTGAAACCAGAAACCAACACGAAGCCAAACCAAAGTGCCAGGGGCAGCACAGGAAGGTCCCAAAACCCACAATGTCACTGCGCCACTGACCCCCTGCCGCTTTTGATCCGTGCAGCAGAGGGGTGGCTTCAAATGAATGGTTGCAACGGGCATCCTGGCCTTTTGGGTGCCCCTCTGATGGCTGCTCTCCTGCCTTCATGCGGACCCAGCTCCCCTCCCTTCCCAGAAGGCTCCTCCGGTCTCCCGCCAGAGACGTGGTTCCCTCTGCCCCCACATGGAGGTGACCGGCCCTCGGGGGACCCACCGCGTTAATGCCCGAGAGCTGCTGCGAGAGTTGCAAGGCAATGGCGATGAGGATGGCCTGGCGGTAGCTGGGGGAGAGGAAGAGTTCTGGGATGGTGACTTTCTTCTCCTGGGACATCTTGGCGCTTTCCTCTTTCATCTCCTGGATGTCACTGGACACATCCTGGATGCCACGCAGGCTCTGGAGCACTGAGGGGAAAAGGACACGGGCCGAGTCAGACGTGGGGCCGCCTCACTTTGGAGAGCTCCAATCAGTTTTGTGCCCAATTTATTTCTAGAAAGGATTCTTCTTGACGGAGCTACTCATCCTGCCCAGGTAAGGCAGCAAAGAGAAAAACAGAAGCCCCCTTCACCAGCACTGGAGATGACTGACGGCTAATAGTCCAACTTTCTTGGCTGGGTAGGAGAGGCTTCTGCGCACACATGGACTTTTGTGCTGTGCAACGTTCCAGCGTGCCAGAACCTGATCCGCAGAACAAACAAAGAATTGTGTCTGCCGGTTCAGAAGAGGGGAGCAAGAAAGGCGGAGATCCACAGAGAGACCTCCTGTCAGGAGCCATCCGAGATCTGGACGGAGCGCCTGTGAAGACTCAGTTGCCCTTCTGTCAACAAGGAGGAAAGGACAGCTGGGTTTTGAAGTCTGCCGTGCCCTTCCCAGGAACCCTCTTCTTAGCAGGGATTGTTTTACCAAAGTCTTCATTTTTACCAATCCTTTAACTTACTGCCAAAATGCTTTTGGGATCAGCACCTGCCTGGCAAAAGGTTTTGCTAAAACAGGCGTGCCTCTGCGTCACTCTGCAGGGCGGCTGCAGAATGAGTACCTTTGATGGCCTTCTCTTCCTCCATCTTGTTGATCAGCAGGAATCGGGGGCTCTCGGGACAGAAGGGGAGGGTCACCAGCTGCAGGACGGCTGGGATGATGGTGAACCCCAGCAAGACCGGCCAGAGTTCTTCCGTCCCCAGGATGACATCCAGGCCAAAGATCTGGGGGGGGGGGCAAGAAAAGAGAGGCCCAAGGGTCAGGCCCCATCCCCAAAGACTGAAATGCGAGGAGGGAGCAAGTCAGCCGGGCAAGATTTCCTCTGAGCCTCTGGAGACCTTCTTCCTTGAGGCTGCTGTCCCTGGCCTTTCTCAGTTCAGAGCAGACCCAGAAGGTCCGTGGGGAAGTTCCCCCCCACCCCACCCCAGATCCCATGGCGCTGATTAAGCTGAGGGATTCTCTCCTCTGGAGCATCCATCTCTTCCCCAGAAAGGCAAAGGCCGCAATCTGCCTGCCTGAGGAGGGCTAGCTCACCTGGGCCACCAGGATGCCCACCACGATGCCCAGCTGGTTCAGGGTGCCAAAAGCCCCCCGCAAGGCAGTCGGGGAGACTTCACTGATGTACACGGGCACCAAGCCAGTGCAGAGGCCACAAAAGACCCCGATGATGAAGCGCCCGATGATCAGCATCTCCACTGCCCGGGCCATCTTGGAGAAGCCCATCAAGAGGCCAGCCACCATGGGCAGGACGTTCACCAGCAGCATTGAATTCCGCCTGCAGAGGGAGGGGGGAAATGTGTGTGTGTGAGAGAGAAAGAAAACTGAAGGAAGAACTGAAGAGAAGGGCAGAGGAGAGAGAGAGAAAGAGAGAGAGAGAGAGAGGGAGAGGGAGGGAGATCTGGGGCTCTAGCATAGCATTCGAATTCAGGCAGCAGCTGCTTCTCAGGGCTTCACCCTCATCCAATCTCTGGGACAGCCATGCTCTGCCCTTCGTGGCAAGGAGGTGCCCACCGGAGACTCTTGGCATTGGCACCTGGGGCTTGGAGTCCTGGTCTTGTAGAGATGGCCCTTGGAGGGAGCCAGCACAGGCGCTTCCCTTGTGGCAGGGCTCAACCAGTGGTGGAATTCATTTTTTTTACTACCGGTTCTGTGGGCGTGGCTTGGTGGGCATGGCAGGGGAAGGATACTGCAAAATCCCCATTCCCACCCCACTCTGGGGCCAGCCAGAGGTGGCATTTGCTGGTCCTCCAAACTGCTCAACATGACTGCTACCGGTTCTCCAGAACCTGTCAGAACCTGCTGGATTTCACCCCTGGGCTCAACCCCCCCGGTAGCTTAATCGCAAGGTCCCTTTTGGACTGGGGGCCCCGCTTTCTCTCTCACGCCCCTCCTATGCCATTCTTCACCTACCTGCCAAATCGGTTGACAAGAAACCCGACAGAGAAAGAGCCAATCATGCCTCCGACTGAGAAAATGGCCACCGAAAGGGACCACAGAGCGGTCAGGAGGCTCTTTGAGATGTAGTCTCCCGTCCGTTCCAGCGACGTGTCATTGAAAAAGCCCTTGATGATCTGCAAGGACAGAAACGGAAGCTCAGAGTTTCTGAACCAGAAGGAGAGAGCAAAACGTGGGGAAGTCGAGAATGAGCCCAGTCAAATCACAAGGATGGCCAAGAGAGGAGGAAAACAACCAACCCAGGAGGTCTGACAAGTTCCCCTGATCAGGGCAGATGTCAGAAAGATCCCTGAAGAGATCCTGCAGAGGAGGAGCTCCTGCCCAAGCCTAGAGTCCCCCTGCTAACCTCCTGAAGGTGTGGCCTTCCAGAAAAGCAAGCCCATTATTAGGCCTGCGGTTGTATTCACCCAACTTGACCCAGAGGGTGTTTGGCTGCTGGCCATCCAAAGTTCACCATACTCCTCCTCCAAAGAGCAATGTGACATCAGGGGCAAAGGGTGGTGGCAGGGAGAAGGAAGCAAGTCCTTCGTAGTATCTACTTGAATAGCAGTATTCCTTGCCAATAGAATGTCCTCACATCCTTGGACTGAAACAGTGCGCTCAGGATATTTTTTTGGCTAAATTGGGACCAAATTCTCTCTCTCAAAATATTTAGCAGAATCACTTTTTCAAGCAGCTCTTTGTGTTCCTCATTCCATTATATTAATGGCTTCTCATTCTGGATACACTGAACAATGAAAACAACAAAATCAGAGTCATACTTTGTGCATTTTTGAGAAAAACCTCCAAAATTATCATTTTTGGAGAAGAACGGGTATCAAAGAAAAGATAACCAGACTGTAGATGTTCCCGGGATGAAATGAATATGTGCAAGCAGAAGACAACAATAAAGGCATCCAAGATCTGAAAAAACAGGACATCAACTTAAGTGGATCCTGGCTGGGTAACTTCAATGCTCATACAAGTCAGTTTTTTCTCAATCATCATGAAAAACTGCTTACACTCTCATGTTACAAGTGTGCTTGTATTTTCATCCGACATCATAGGAATATCAAATGCTTCTCCGATACCCACCAGGTTTATTCCATGAAACATGGGCTGGTAGATCTAAAAAGTTACATTTTATTATTTGTAAGTCTTTAAATGTTCCCACAGGGTTAAATTGTTGTAACATGAGGGACGTAAAAGGTTTTCTTCCTAAAAAGGGAATTGGGGCTTTGTTAAAATGGGGGAAAGCCCCTCTGGACCACAAGCAGCTCTCTTCCCACCCTGGGCTAGATCCAGCTGCTCCTTTCAGGGTGGTGCACGAACGCAGACACACACACACACACAAACACACAGAGAGAGACACGTCTGATCTGCAGAGGGCAGCCGAGCGAGGGATCCTCTGCGCTGACACCAGGGGGCAGCAGGAGACCAGCCCAGAGACCAGCGGGTGAGCCAGGGGAGGAGAGGAGCCTGTCTAGCCGTTATCCTGTCTCCCCCTTCCCCATGAGCGTAGATGGCAGGATGCGGCACATGAGTCATCTTTACGAAGCGAGAGACCCACGCATTTCCTCCTGAATACTTGTCATTTTCATTAAGGGGCCTAATTCAGAGACAAATTATTTTGGAATTCCCTGAGTCATTTTCCTTCCCATATTTTGGCCACAGAGTGCAAAAGTTGATAGCTGAAAAGGCTGGCAGGATGGAGGAGCTGGAGAGATTAAGCCTCTGCCATCGTCCCTGACGGTTGTCCTTGGTCCTTCCAGCCTTCTGTGACTCAGCAAATTCCCCTCCTGCTCCTCCTCTCCCCTCCCCTGCCCCCTCCACCGACCCTGCCAGCCAAGGATGTTTCACAGCTGGTGCCTGCCTGGCCATGCTGGGCGTGGACATTGAGCCCACCCGGGTGGCACATGGCTGGGGAGGTGTCTCACCCTTTCTGGGAATGTCCTTGGGGGACAGGAGGGAGAGCCAGAGATGGGACAGTGGCTTGCCAGGATGCCTCAGCCCACAGAACTCCCTAGCTGGCCAGAGGTTTAAAAGAGAGCAAGGGACGAATAGTGTCAACCTTGTGAGGTCCTGTTAATGCAACCTTACAATAAAAATAGAACTCCCGTAGGACTCCTGGCTGTGTTTCTTGTCTGGACTACCTAGCAGGGCTAACAGGGAGTCTTTCCCAAGACCTAGAATCCCAGAGATCAATTTAATCTCAGCTGAAGGTGAAGATCCCAAGATCTTCTCCATTCCCCATTTAAGTTGCTGACCCATCTCCTTTGGGGAGGGGGGGGGGAGGGTTTATCATTCTCAAATTGTTCCTTAATTTAGATCCTGAATAAAGGGGGTTATTTACAAAAAAAGTGGAGCTAGTGACCCTAATTAAAAATGCTCCGCCATGCAAGTTGTCCATAAATGTGGTGACTTGGCAAAGTTCTCCAAAGGGGAAGGTGACCCTCCTAACCCAAAGAAGCAGGACCCCCGGAAGGCCAGCAGCCCCTGAGGAGATCTGAAGGGGACTCCTGGCCTTGGTTCTTCCCACTAGGCAGGGGAGGTATCACCACTCCATCCCTCCCCAAGTGCCTGCACATTCCCCCTCCCCAAGGGAGGGTCAGCTGAGACAGCCCCATTGGCCCAAGAGCCCCACAGGAGCCCAGTGGTGGGAATCAAATAATTTAACAACCGGTTCTCTGCCCTAATGATTTCTTCCAACAACCAGTTCACCAAACTGTTCAGGAAGTTAACAACTGGTAGTTCTCCCGAAGTGGTGCCAACTGGCTGAATCCCACCACTGGTTCTGTTTCCCCGTCTCAAGGCCTCCTCGGCTGCCTGGGGACCAGCCACTCTCTGGCCGGTCCTTCCCGAGCTGAGCGGAGGGAGGAGAGTCCAGCTGTTGAGAAACAGCTGCCAGGCCATTGGCCACAGCAGGGCCTGCACCGGGTGGGCGGCAGGTGCTGGGAAGGTCGGCCCTTCCACAGAAAGGGCCCCTGGGGAGAGAAACTCAGCCATTCAGGAGGCCTGGCCTGTTACTCAGCCCAGAGGCTGAGTCAGTTTGGCTTTCAGGGTTGGGAAGGGAAATGTCAGAGCAGCCTCCCTCCTGCCCGCATCTCCACCTCTGAGCCGGCCTTGATGAACTGAGGAATGGCAGCATCTGGCCTCAAGTCTCTTTCCCCAGGAGAGGCTCCTTCGGCTTCCACGAAAGCACGAGAGGCTCCGTGTCACCTTTTCCGAAAAATAACACAGCAGTGAGGAGCTCTACTCTCTCTTACAAAACTAGGGGTTCTTCTCCCTCTCCTTAATCTCAGACGCCGAGTTCCCATCAATGACCAATTCCAGGACGGTCCCTTCTCTGGCTCTACCCGAATTCCTCCCCATCTTTTCTGCTACAAGCAAATTCTCCAGGAGCAGAAAATCCCTGGAAAGCCCCCCGTCCCCCCGTCCCCTCCTTACCACTTCAGGAGCATTGATGACTCCCGTGTTGTACCCGAATTGGAGGGATCCGATCGCTGCCACAGACACAGCAGCGAGAAGCGAACAGGTTATCTTCTTCTGAAAAGAGAAGCAAGGTTACAGTTCGCGTTTCCCCCAAAGGCAAACAGCATCGCAGCTCCTCCGTGGGATTCTTAAGAAGGCAAAGCCCATTTGTCCACCATTCCCTGGAGGTGGCGGGGACAGCCGGAACCCCTGGCCACTGCCTGGACAGTCCCTGCACTTTCCTTGGCCAGACATTTCAGAGGGTCTGCCGTGCCTGCTTCTTCCTAGGACTGGGGGGGTGGGAGCAGCCTGGGGTCGTCCCGTTGGCCTCCTGCCTCAGGCGGGGTTCCTCGGCTCCTGGCCTGAACCCCCTACACCCCATTCAGTGCAGCTTTGGGGCAACATCTCGTTCTGAGGGTGGCCAAAAGGCTTCAGGCCAGCTTCACTCTCTGCCTCTTGCCAAACATCTACGGATGCCCAAAGGGCCAAGGCCCTTTCCCCAGGTTGGGCCTCACAGATAAATCCTAAAATAAAACCCCTTACGCTACCTCATCCCCAGAACGGCCCCCCTCGTTATCCTTTCCCCAGCAGATGGGCTCTCTACCCACCCAAGAGTCCACGTTTCCATAGCAACAAGTAAAATGAAAAGGCAGGTGGGAAATCATTTGGTTGCTGCCTGCAGGGGATCCATTTCCTCCCCCTCCAGTGTAGGATTTTTCCATATCATTCTTAAGGCATGTCATTTTAGAGTCCACTTTCAGGTCAGTCTTCTTTGCTAAAGCCTGGGTCTCTTGCATGACATCTTTTAAAGAAAGTCCATAATGGCAGACTCTTTTGAAGTCAGCTTCTGAGTCCCCTGTTCCAAAGCATCTTTCAGTACATCCAATGTTAAAGTTTTCTGCTCCCTTCTATATTAAGTCAGAGTTAAGTGTTGTTCTCCTTTAATTGTACTTTTTAGTTCTTTCTGGTTCCCTCTAGTGTCCAACCTTCAAAGTCCCATCCTGTCTTTTTTTAAAAAGAATTTATAATAGCATTTTTCTACAGAAAGTAATCATATAATTAATTTCAAATTTTAATTTCAAATATATCTGGACTATTAATCAGTTTGCAACTTTCTAAAATCAACATTTTAATTACCCTTTTGCTCTTTATTCCACAAAAATATCCTTAAACTTGTATTTAAAACTTATTTCACTAAAGATTGAAAGAAATTAAACTAGTATTGTAAAAACTTGTTTCTAAAAACAAGTTACGGTCCTAAAATCTAAAAACAAAATACCAAGCAATTTCCAAAAGTGATTAGAAAAGGAAGTTACAAATCCAGTGTCCTTTTGAAGGCAGCAAATTGAGCAAGTCACCTCTTTCTTCATCTCCCAGAGTTTCAAATTCACTGCAGATTGCTGTCTCCCCTTTAGGAGCAACTGTCTGGAGCACTTGTGGGTGATCCCAAGTCTTCTCCTGGTCCAGAGAGGAATCTTTGCTCCCAGTGAAATTGTGTTCAGTTTGCTATCTCTTCCCAATTTTGGTTTGCATTTTAACTATTTTACTGGCCTGGTTCGCTTTTTAATTTTTGTGATGCTAAAAGATATCAGAAAGAGGTAGAGATCCTGTTCTTCCATGGTTGCACAAATAGATTAAAAGGGACATGTACATTGGGAAGGGATTTAGTGCCCACTTTCATGATTGAGGTTGTATCTTAAACCTCCAACAAATGTTCAGCTAAGGCTTCTTAACACTCCACCCAGCTATCACTCTTAAATACTCTTAAATACAGAGAAAATCATGCAACAGCCCAAGATAGGAATGTAAGTTACCTAAAAACTGATGGTGAAGGGCTAAGGATGAACCCTAACAGCACTCCTGGCTACAAAGCTACAAACAATGTCGCACTCCCAAGGTCTGAAGGACTTAAGGCAACCGCAATGAGATGGGACGATGCCATTTGACCAACTCCTGTGTAGGCGCTGAGGGTCAAAGATGGCTTGGTGAAGGCGAAGGGAGCTGGATGGCTTTGTAGGCTACGGGGCTACGCAGGCTTCAAGCTGTGGTGCTGTGGCCCCTCTGGGCTTCCAGCTGCAATTCCTTTCCACAAACCAGGTGACTTTCTGTCTCTGAAATCCTGTGATGGTCTGAAGGGCAGGTGCTTGATGCTCGCTTCGCTTCTGGTTTTCTTGCCCTGGAAGCCATTTCCTAGCAGAAAAAACCTGTTGCAACCCTTCTGCCTGCCACCCCCAACTGAGAGAGGGTCCTGTTGCAGGCCAGTATCCTTTGCAGCCACAAAAGTACAAATGGAAGGGGGGGGGGAGGCAGCAAAATGGCAGGCAATCTGCAAGAGCGCTGTTCAAGCCCTCCTTTCCCCTTCGCAGGTGCTGGCATTTGCAAGGACGTGGGGTTGGGTGGATCTTGCCCCCACCTTGGAGGGGGGGTTGTTCCCTCCCACCTCCAGATGACCTTGACACCTGCTGAGGGTCTTTGGTAAGACTTGGGATGAGAGGCCGCCTCTGCTCCCGGTACCCTTCCGGAGCTCCAAACCAGTCAGGCTTCGCTCTCTCTCCCCACCGCCTCTCTGTCTCTCTCTCTCTCACACACACGTTGGTTCTCCTCCGAACGGAGCCCCGTAAAGCAGCCGGCCGAGGCAGCCGGGCAGAGTCCTCGCTGCTGCGGCCGTGGCGACTTTATCCCCAAGGCATCTGGAGAAGCGACGCCCCGTCCCTCCGCGGGGGTTGGAAGCCCCCCCCCCCCCCCCGCTGCCCGGGCCAGAGCCCGATCCTCCCTTTCCCTGCCGGGTCGCCCAAAGCGCTCTTGGCCGGCCTCAACCGCCACGCGACGCCCCCGGCGCTAACCTCGCTCTGCTCAATGGGGCCGGCCGCCTCCATCGCGCCTCCGTCCGTCGGGCGGTCCTTGGGAAGGGCTGCTGCAGATGCGCCGCCGCCGCCGCCGCCGCCGCCGCCTTTATAGCTGCTGGGGCCTGCAGGGCGGGGGGCCCGTCGGGCGAGAGGCGCGGCTGCCTCGCCCCCCGATGACGAGAGCAGGGCGGGCGGAGGCGGCTGCGGGGCTTCCAGCCTCCCCTCCCCGCAGCCGCTGCCAAGCCGGAGAAGCGGCCCCGGCTCCTTCCGCAGGTGGCCGCGCTCGGAAGCTGCGAGGAGAAGCGGCCCTCGCCCCCGGGCTTAGCCCGTGCGGAAAGCCGCTCGGCCGGAGGAGGGGGCCGCTTGCCGCCTGGCACGGGCGAGGCTTCCGCGGGGCTTCCCCGCTTTGCTTGGGCCTCTGCCGGTTCCTGCCTGGCGGGGCTTCTTCCTCCCAGGAAGCGAAGCCAGCGAGCGGCGGCAGCTGCCGAGAACCCCCCCGACGCTCGCGGGCTTCCTGGGTGCCGGGCCGGCCGCTTACGAGTGCGACGTGCCGCCTTGCGAGGCGCCCTCCTCCCCCCCCCCCCGTCACTCCCGGCCTCCGAGCGGAAAGGTTCGGTTCAGCATCACCGCCGCAGCCGCACTGCCTTGCTCCGTTGCCATGGCAACCAGCCCGGCATCCAAAGAAAGAAGCCGGCGACGGCAGCGGCTCCTCCTCGCTGGGCATGAGGGGCTCAGACCTTGGATGGGAGGAGGTGCCCGGCGTTAGGCTGGCACCCCTCTGGATAACTGCACCCAAAGGCGATAAGGGGACATCCCAACAGAGCCAAACTCTCTGGGCTGGAGCTTGTCCAGGAGAGCCTCCCCGGTGGGGTACACAGACTTTTACAGAAATATCTAAGGAATATCCGAGGGATGCGAGGAAAGCAGTTGGTCTGTACCACGGACGACAAAGGTTTTACCTCCGTCCCAGATGTTCTGCCCAAGTTCTACCAAGGTTTTATTCTAGGCCTAAAGCAAGCTGGGCTGGCATTGCCACTTGCCAGTCTCCCATCCTGTCTGGCTACTTTTTGTAGAATAGGTTGATGTATGTGCTATAGAATGAGATGCTCCGATGAGGTTTCCCAAAAGATTTGTTTTGCCCAGAATCTCAGACTTCATCTTGTCCTGATCTCGCCATTTTGGTGAAGGTTCAGCACCCCAATTCAATGGACCTTCTTGAAGAAAATGGCCATTCCTTCCCTCTATTAAAACAAGGTTTTATTGTACTGATAATTCACAAGATTTTGATGTTGCAAATGCCTCAGGACCAGGGGTGAAATCCAGCAGGTTCTGACAGGTTCTAGAGAACCGATAGCAGAAATTTTGAGCAGTTTGGAGAACCGGCAAATACCCCCTCCGGCTGGCCCCAGAGTGGGGTGGGAATGGGGATTTTGCAATATCCTTCCCCGGAGTGGGGTGGGAATGGGGATTTTGCAGTATCCTTCCCTTGCCATGCCCACCAAGCCACACCACTCCCACCAAGCCACGCCCACAGAACTGGTAGTAAAAAAATTTGGACTTCACCACTGCTCAGGACCAAATTGCAAATTCAACTGATATCCAATTGATCATGCTGCCTTTTTTCCAATTTTGGGCAATCTAAATTTTTCTTGCAACAACTCACTTAAAATGATTAATGATAAGCTGAATCAAAGTCACTTGGGGGAAACATGCAATTTTAAACTGGGATTGTCTGGAATGTAGCTGATTAGGTGAGGGTCAAAAGTATACTCGACATCCTCTAGACATATGTTGCAGATTTTAAATGCAATGCAATGGAACTACTGCTAAATTGCGTCTCAATTGTTTCTGTAATATCAGATAGGTCATTTAATTGCCTTTGAACTGTTGCACCCCATTAAAAAATGGAAGTTACAGTGAATGGCCAAGGATAAAATTGAAGGTTAAAAGGCTCATCATTGTATGAAAATAATAACTTAAAAAATATAGATGGTTTTCCTTTCCTGAAAATATGGTTAATAAATATTAATATTTATAAAAGTTTTTGCCCTCTGATGCTTTCTAAAGAAAACTGCAATTGTCAGAAATATCAGCCCAATATTTCATTAATCTACCCTAAACACCCCACAAAGATGAGGTGATAAGAGAGCCAGGCGGGGGGCTCAGAAAGAGGCTGTTATCGAGAGTCTGACGTTCAGGATGAATCGGCCACCGAGGGCGTATTATGAAAAAACTAATGGATATCCAGAGTCTGGTCAAGGAGACCGATGGAGCCACAGCTATTATTTCCTCCAACATCTGGCAAAGCCAGGTGATATTTTGGACACACCTGGCACAAATGGCACTCCAGTTTGGAAGTGAGCGCCCTGGAAAAGACGGCATTTGGCTTCACTTGCTGTTATTCCAAGTCGTGATGAACGAGATCCACTTACAATTTTTGGAGCAGGGGAACAAGACAGCACCAAGTGCTTCGGGTCTGAGGCTGCATAACAGAAATGGGAGAATTAAAAACAGGAAAGGTAAAGAAGGCTCCATTTTGCCCCGAGTAGGTAACGTTCAAAAAGAAAAAATATAGGCATGACATGGCTACTCAGGCAGATTTTTTTTGTTTTGTTTATCTATGCACAAAAATTGTACTTATTTAACTGAAATCATTCTATAATTAATTTCCCAAGAAGTCAGAGAAGCTGGTGGTGGTGGTGGTGGTGTTTCTATTAATTGATGATGAAACCAAAAGTGCATACATATGCAGGAACAAACCTCTGAGGTCCTTTATTATTGCTAAAGAGGCAATAGATCTGAGCAATGTGTTGGTTTCCACCTGCCTTTCTCTCCGTGAATGTTATCGCCTGTGGTGGGGTACAGGGGTGGGTTCTGCTTACTTTTACTACCGGTTCACAACAGGGTCGCGTGCGTGCACTCACAGGCACAGGTCACTGAGGATGACATCCGGGGCGGTGGACGGGGCCTCCTGCCGGTTTTACTACCGGTTCTTGCGAACTGGTCCGAACTGGGGGCAACCCACCACTGGTGGGGTAGCTGGAGAAAGCAGCCCAGCCTTGTGTGGATGAGTGGGGCACTGGGTGGTGTCCAAGCAGAGCTTCTGAAAGAGAGACCGCAGGCCATCTAGGTTCATTCATTGCTACCATCACAGTTGGGTTTGGCAGTTATTTCTACCTGTGGAAACACAGATTGATTCTTCATCTGAGTTGCCAGATGAAAGTGGGAGCAGAAACGTTGAACATTGTCAGAAATTGTCAGATGCTGGCTAGGAATGGCGAATTGCATCACGCTTAACACTTTCAATAATTTTATTGCCCTTAAAGGAATGTACTGAATTACATCCAGATAAAGACTGTGTCATTCTACACCAGACACTTTTTGGCAGTTGTGATTTGTGTGAAGCATTTTAGAACTTCAGACAAATTGTGGTATCAGATTTCTTAAAGAAACCACACTGTGAGCTGGCCTTATTTCCCTATTAATTCTTTGAATGATGCTCTTGTATTCTTCGTACAACCCATGGGGCTGAAAGGGGCATTAGAAGCCTTTTCATCAAAACCCCGTAGGAATCTTCAGACCACCCCAGAAAAACACATCTTGCCTTCAAATCCTCACAATCACAGAGAGGCCTCTTTCATTTCGGATTAGATCTCCGTCTCTGTGAAGCTTCCAACTCTTGGTCCTTGCCCTACCTGCAGCCATCCCAGAGAAGAAATTCACAGACCCTCTTTCCTGGGTCAGCTCTTTAAATATTGGAAGACTGCTTTCCTGACTCTTCTCCTTTAGGCCCAACAGAACCGGCTCCTTTTTACCATTCTTCAAATTAGCCTCCAAACCCTTTACCTTCTTTCTCGCTTTTCTCAGGACATGTTCCAGTTCCTTAGCATCCTTTTTCTCCCGTAGCAACTAAAGCTGGACACAGGATACTGGATACTCCTTTCTGAAAGGTGTAATGCGCTAGGAGGCCAAAGAAGAAAAGGTGTGTCAGGTGAGGCAGAGGAAAGAGGTAACCTAAAGGACTTGGCAAGAGGCCAGAGAGGTGTCAGGAAGCCACCGGAGGAAGTGGGAGATATTCATGAGAAGAGCACAGGAAGCCAGAGCTGGGCCTCCAGGAAAGGGTGGGGTCACACGAAGTTCTTAGCCTGGTTTTTTGAACTTCCCATTTTGAATGAGCACATTCAAAGGTTCAGTCAAGGGTTTGTCTTCCTTGGGGGAAATCTAGGAACGGACCCTGCTTGACGGTCAACAGACAAAGCAACACCTCTTAAGATACGTTTCACGGCGGTTGGGGGAAATGGTCCAAAAAGTCAGAATGATGGTTGGAATGATGGGATGGACCCTCCCATTAAATGTGTTGCACATCAAGACAGGTGGAGCATTGGTGATTGTGGCCAATGGCTTGATGCTTTGAACCACGCTTTGTGGACCTTCCAGTCTACACTGTTTGCCTCCAGAAGGGCTGCCACTCAAAGGCTTCCAGTTCAGCAGGGTGCAAAGAGAGTTCAAGCACAGCTTTCTCCCTCACAGAACTTTCCCACATCAACTGGGAGAAGGAAGGAAGGAAGGAAGGAAGGACTCTTTTCTTTGGAGTCTTTCTCCACCCCCACCCCCTTTAGTTGTGGGGTTGTGTTTTGAGTGAGCACCAATGTCTGGGCCCCCAAGCCCCCCCCCCAGTATGAGTGCCAAACAGGGCCATTCTCATGAGCCCCCCCAGGAAGCAAAGCCCTGAAAGGCATTTGAGTGAAGCCCTCCCCCAGGAGCACTGCAGGAAACATGTAAATCTCCTCAGAAAAGAGATGCAAAATGGGGGGGACACTTTCACAGATCGGTACTTGTTGATCGACCCTGGTTATCACCCTCCCCCCCAAAGTGGGGACTTCCTGCCTTCAGTTCTGTTGTCCTCAGAAGGAGCCATAAGCTGAGCTGGCCCCACCTCTTTCTACTCCCCCCAGAAGCAGCACCAGGTACTTCCTCCAGAATTAAAAGTTGGGGGTGTGTGTGGAAATGTAGGGTTTGGACTCAACAGTTACAACCCCTCCCAACAGGTAAGCTTGGACCTGCAAAGGCAGCTGAGGCCGGGATGAAATCCCAGTCGCCTCCTAAAATCCTTACCCTAATGCCGCCATCCTCAGCCCTTCAGGGTTGCTGCCCAGGAGTGCCAGCCACACAGGGCAGAGGTGCAGCAGCTGGAGTGCCACGGCTGTTTCCAGGCCATGCGCAAGTCTGATTTCAGGCCATGCGCAAATCTGAAGGCTTTTCTGTGCCTGCTCACCTCAGTTCTCCTGGCCCCACGGCTTGGTCCAGACTCCGTCTGCAAGGCCAGCAGAGCTCAGCTTCAGGGAAGGGGCCGAGGAGCAGCCCCAGCTTCCTTCCTGGGGCCTTGGCTGGTTGCTCTTCGCGGCTCCTCTACCCGCTGGCTGCTCATTATGGGAAGGGTGGGAAGGGAAGGAGGGCTCACACATCCGAAAAGCAAGGCACACCTCTAAGCAGGGAATAGTCTGGGGGTGAACCGGCAGGTATTT